GAAGGTGACCCAACAGGAACAAGAAGAAGAGGCGCGCAGCGGGCAAGGTAGATCGACCAAGTAGAAGGTGACCTGCGGACCCTTCGTAGATTACGAGGCTGGCGAACTGTGGCCATGGATCGAGTAGAGTGGAGACGACTTCTTGGGACAGCAGAGGACAACAAGGCCTTAGCCTGATTGGTAAGGTAAGGTAAGGTTACAAGGGTTGAGTGGTCCACCGAACCAGTGTTGGCAAAATCACAAATCAATTGATATTTTTCCACTATCATGCACTCGCTATATTACGCATGACATTGGAACAAAATATCATGCTTGATATTGATTTTACAAGCTCCTTTGATATTGCGTGCAAAAATCAAGCTGAGAGTTGACTTGACACAAAAATGATTCAGTTGCACATCGTTTTCTTAGAAAGAGAAAGTATAGTATGCTATCTCTTTTTATTCTTCACCGATGGCAGACACGAAGTGACTGCTGCCAGCCGTTATGGAAGTTTCGGTTGCATTCGGGTGTAAAGTAAAAATCATGAAACTCAATCTCACCACAGTTTGTTGAGATTTGCAGCTACTGAGTTTTGTTAGCTTGATATTCCAAGCTGTGATATCACAGCTTGCAAAATCAACCACAGTTGTTTGCTTGTCGATTTTTGTCTACGAAAATCAAGCGTGATCTTGGGCGTTGATTATTTTTGATTTTTTGATATTTTCTAAACACTGCACCGAAGTAACATATCTTGGTATGTAATTTGACGAGAAGCTGCTTTTCCGCTTGCACATAGATAGGGCAGTAGTTAAGTGTTCCAATCTAGTTAGGTGCTTGTATCCGCTAATTTGCCGCAGATCTCGTCTCTCTAGGGTGAATAAACTGGCTGTCTACAAACAAATCATTGCACCTGCGATCTTCTACGCAGTTCCGGTGTGGGAATCATGTGCACAAACTCACAGGAACAAAATACAGATAGCGCAGAACAGGGTATTGAGGATGATCCTTGATCGTCCTTTCGATACCCGCATTTCCGACCTCCATCAAGAGGCTAACATTCCGAAAGTAGACTTTCAAATTAACGAAACTAGGAACAAATTTGTGCAGAAATGCAATACATCAAAACATGCATTGATAAGCAATGTGTATATAGTAGGTCAGGTGTATATAGTAGGTCAGGTGTATATAGTAGGTCAGGTGTATATAATAGTTGAATATTAGTTGTAGTTGTAAATAGTAGTTTTAAGTAGTCTTGTTTTCCAATTTCAAACAAACAAATCCCACCCATTCTCTAAACAGGCCTGATAGGACTAGGAACGATAATTAATAATTATTGAAATTTCAAAATAACTAAAGTTGAAAAGACGCATCTGTGTCACTTGATAAGTTATACATGACAACCACACAAATTCAAGAAATATAGATCATTTAAAGTCAAAGTCCTAATGAAGTCATTATTGTAACGAACTTTGAAGCAGGCGGACTATCAGCAGTAACAGCAACAGCAGCAACAATGCTTGAAAGGACGCATCTAAACGCATTGAAATAAGGGTTGCCACTGGGTACTTTCGTAACCGGACAGAGGTTTCCAGCCTTTTTCACGGCTTCACGAAAACAACTGGTTTTTCGCTACCTGTATTGTTGCCGCTGCTAATGCTGTTACTGCTGATAGTCCATCTGCTTCAAATTTCGTTACAAGAATGACAACATTAGGCATAGGTAAGCTATATTTATATGTAGGGGAACTAGGGGCAAGAAGGTCACCCGGGGCAAGAGTGCCACCCTCAATATATTTTGAAAATGAAATCATTTCAATTTTATCTCATGATGAACCTATGCACGGTATTCCTATGAAGCATTCTAAAAAGTTCTGTCCGAATCGAAGTCGTAAAAAAAATGCAAAAAATCATTTTGTGTTGATGCATTGAAAAGCTAGTTTTTTATAAGAATAAGGCATCATAAAATAAGGTTTTCGGAATTTCCAATTTATTTTTTTCACAATTTCTGCATTGAGACATCACTATTGATGGTTGTTTGATACATTAATAACAATAAATTATTAAATATTTTGTTTAATTAATCAAAAATTATATTCCTAAAAATAAACTTTATACGGGGCAAGAGTGCTACCCCTACATTTAAGTATGAAATTGTACAAAAATGTTCAGAAATTAACACAATTGGGTATTTATGTTTCCAATATACATTGTTTTCGTAACATTTTGGAAAACAAGCTGTATAAAATAGTATCAAAAATAGTTTCCATTTGAATCTTTGACGCACATGGTTTATATGTTTTAGATATAAAAAAATATATCGTTAAGTCAATATTTATTGGAATAAACAATAAAAGCAGTTGCTGTTATACCTAAGAATAGTAATTTGTTGTTTAGAAATGAACATTTATCAGTTTCACTTCATTTTAGACATAAGAGTGGCCCTCTTGCCCCGTAGCATTTTTTAAGGCAGGTTCGACATGACATTTTGAAAAAATCATTAACATTTTTTGATGGGGTTTAATTTTAATTTCAATGATGATACATGGAGACAAGACTTACAATTCGATTAACAAACTCCTATAAATATTCACGGAATCACATATAAAAACGCGCTATCGTTAGGGTGACCTTCTTGCCCATAGTGCCCCTAGCTAAATTTCCACTTGTTTCCAAAACATTGTTAGTTGCCATGGAATTTTTCCTACCTACCAAAAAGATTTCGGATCAGATGACTACTTCTTCAACGTCTGATTTCAATTTGTACACTCCTACATTTTCTTGGAAGAAGAGTGACTATGTAACATACTGTTTTATGTTCACGGTCAGAATACGTGTGCGAATATCTTTTCATGGTTTATACCATGGCTTCATAGTGATATCTATGAAGCGAACACCAAGGTAGCGTGCTCACCGCAGCTGGGGTGTTGCTTACACTACCATTCCTTTAGGGCCGATGAGCGACGTTTAGAAGTCGATATTCAAATTTATATATGTTTGTTTTCAAACCACAATGAACATTTTAAGAGGTTGAATTTACAAATTGGTCGAATTTCTGAAAACAAGGGACGGCCTAGCGTGAGTGCCTCTCACTCTAAAGAGCCCGGGCGCCCGTTGGGTTCAATCCCGGGCGCCCGTTGGGATTTTCTGAGGTTTAACATCTCTGATCACGGGAAGTAAAGCCGTTGGTACTAAGTCCATGAGCTGATGGGTCGATAGGTAGAGTTCAGGAGTGGGAGCTGCCTCCCTAGCGTCGGTAGCATCCCGAGCAAAGTAAAATAACAACCTGATATCATCTTGAAAACAAGTCTTGTTATTTCAGATATCATTTTGTTTTCAGTTGTTATCGCATAGCTAATTTAGTTATCAACATCGACTAATTTTGTTATCAGTTGTTATCATGTTGTTATCAATGAAATAGCTAATTTAGTTATCAACATCGACTAATTTTGTTATCAGTTGTTATCATGAAATAATATGAAATGATGAAGATTACTTTAAAACTTCAAATATTATTCGCATGGTAAGAAAAAAACACACTGCCAAGCATGTTTCAGTTATCTGCGTAAGGCTTAAATAAAAAAAATATTTTCATGGATCACAGGATGTGTTTTCAAGATGTTTCCAATGATAACTAAATCAGTTATTTTGTGATATCCACGGAGTATTTTTTTGTTTTAATGTTGGCTGCTTATTCAACCTCAATGATAACATTTTCAGTTATCAAATCTAGATAACCAGGTATCAGAACATGTTATCAATTTGCTCAGGATTGGTACTCAGTACGGACATAAATCAAGGAAAACAAAAAAGGCATAGACAAATGTCGGACTAGGAGCTATTTCACACATTTGGATTTTTTTTGTTCTAAATATATAGGTTAAAGCTGCTAATCCCCCAAAAAATCTTCAATGTTTTTGTACCCCAAGCCGCACTCCGTGTTTTCGCTGAATATTCAAAGGGGTGCGTACCCGGGTGCGAAAATTTTAAAGTTTGATCGAGAGAATACTTACTTTAATCTATTTATTTTTAGATCGATGAACCGATGAATCGATGAGTCAATTGGATTTAACGTTAATTTACGATATTCAAAAGAATGAGAGATGCTCCAAAGCTAAAGTGCGGCCACATCTCTAACGTAAAGTGTTATTGTTCAGCCGTTGCACTCTGGGGATTATAGGGACAAAATCGATTAAACTCCTCTGCCGTTGAAATTCCGACATGAAATATGTTTGCATTAGGTGATTGGATCAAGAAATATATCTTTATCAATTTTATTCGGAGCATGCTATAGTAGCACTTAATGTGAGCCTATCTAACTCAAAATTTCATAAAAGATCTGAACATTCTCGAATTAAACGTTTTTTCAGACATGGGATACCAGTGCAAAATGAGCTCAAAACTTACACCTGGTTTAATTTTGGTCTTTAAACTAGTGTAGACAACTTTCTGAATATTTTTTTCATTGTAAACATTGTTTTTTTTTAAATGAAGTTAAATATCCACTTTTATACATATTTTGAACATGGGGCTTATTTGACGCCAATTCTCCTATACATTTCCCAATAGTTTCCCAACGGTCACCTATTGATTGTGAAAACGTAATTGGTAACTTCTACTAGACTGTCAAACGTGTTTAAATAAAATCCTTTAATATAAATACGCGAGCATGGGGTGAATTGAGCTACAAACCACACACTTACCGTGGCCTGCGCAAGCGGAATCGATTCCTCGGGGTTTTTACATTAAGAAAACTCTAAAATCACACTTTTTGCGTTTATGAAATCGTCCAGTTTAAGTTGCAATCAACAATATTTTGGATTTTGCGCAGAGTTAGAGCTTAGGTGCATAACTAACCACTTATGGTACTTTATTATTTATGAAAACATAATTTTACAAACGATTTGAATGTAATTTTACTCTAAATTGAGCAATAAACAGGTACCACACGATATATTCTTACATTGAAATTTCGTTGTAATAACTGGGATATAATATGTTATTGAAATTATTTTATTTTAGATTACCATCCTTCTGATTCTTGCAGTCAGTAATGTGATACTCTGCAAACCGATTGTGGAAGAACGGATTTCGAATAATAGCTCAATGATGTCATCAGCCCGTAAGAATTGAATCATTTAATCAATGTTATCACTCATATTTCGATGCAGGATATTTTTTAATTGATAGATGAGGCACGTGTTCCAAGGATGCATATCGATGGTACATCTCCAGTTCTCCAAGCCGGAATTGCACGCGTCAACGGACGGTTTGGAAAAAGTATCCGAGCGTTTACAGTGAATGAGTTTGAAAAATATATTGTAGGATTGGTGTAACAGTGATTAGAATATAAATTATGTTTATATGTTAAGAAAAGAATGCTAAGTGATTTCGTGGATATAATGAATTATGGCAAATCTTCATGTCATTATTTATCTGATGACAACATACACACTAAGAAAAAATCATGTAAATTTAAGTGCTCTGAGAGTGACATATACGAGCGTCAATTTTGACATAAATTTGAGTCATAATAGACACGAAATAAAGCTTAATCAAACATACTTTTCATCGAGCAACGAACTTTTCAGTCTCGGAGATGGATTCCTTTACATGTAAAATTAATTATTTCTAAGTGTGTATGATTCAAATCATTATTAACATCTATTCAGCAAAAAAAGATTATACATCAATGTTACCAGTTAGTCAACTATGTCAAGGCCACGAAAAAAAAATGATCAAATACAATTGCATCGTACAAACGTGTTTATTAGTTTTTACTATCGATAGTTTCACATTCGTTCACAATCATCGTTCGCGATCGTTTTATCGACCATTCTACTAAACAGAAGCAAGCAGTACCTAAAATTCCAGACGCTAAAAGGATTCCAAGTTGTATTCTCAGCCCGAGGTGAGACGAGTAGACGAAACTAATAGCCGTAGCAACGGACTGAAAAAAAAGAAAATATTAGTGAAGTGTACATCAAATGGTGATCATTGCATTATACCTGTGTAAATTTAAATATCGAAAAGGCTTCTGCTGAATTTTTAGCAAAAACACCTCCAAGCATCGAATATATTTGAGTATTGAAACAAGCATCTCCCAATCCAAGAAGGAAGGAACATAAAATGGCAACAGCTGCATTCGGTGGTTTAAAAAATGCCACCTCGTTCGTGTCTCCAAACGGTGCAACGTCAGGAATATTCATGAATATTAGAAGAAAGCTTATAATGTGTATGATAAAACCGGCGATTACAATAGGGTCACGGCCCCATTTAGCGGTCTGCTTTCCTAGCAGACCAAAGGATACTCCACCGAGTACTTCTCCGACACCGAGAAAAACACCATTCAGTCCTACAAGTTGTTTCGCTGATTCACCGATTGCGTTGGTGAATCCAATACTGGCTCCGTAAACGCCACTGAAAAATGATAACGCTAAACCTACATTGTCGAAAAAAGTAAAAATAAAATAATTACTTGTTTGCATTATTCAAAGATGATAGACAGTGAATTAGTTAAACATAAAATGAAAACAGCGTGATATTTATGCGATAAATCAAGCACCTATTGGCATCCCCAATTTTTTTATTCCCTCCTTATCCTGTGACACGCATTTTTCCATATTTTTTAAACGTACTGTCTTTAAGAAACTCCTCTCTTCTCAAAAGAGGACATCATAATTGAATCGCGCCCTAGAATATATCAGGTCTGTGCTAGAGTCGGTGTATAATGTTATTAAAGGTATTACAATGAAATAAATAATATTTATGAAAATGAGATCGTAAGCACACCGTAAGTCTTCAATGAATGAACATGATCAGATATGTGATTTTGAGTTATTTTTGGTAATTATTACTTGGAAAACTCTTTGAAATTGTAATTTAAGACGGGCTAAATTTTGGTTTCGCTGTAAGTAATTTAAAGTTAATACAGAAGCACTCTGTTGCCAAGTGAGGAATCTTTCGAAAACCGTGCTGTGAGTTCGACTTTTTTTTCACTTTACGTGGCTCTAATACACCGACTCTAGTCTGTCTTATGTATATTGTATTCTGCATTCGTAACTGACCTCCTCAAAAGTGCGGAATAACCACTTAATTCGAGCAGTTAAAATGACGTTTACAACCACTCGAACTTTGAAATAAAACATCATGTTGAGACTTTTTCTTCTAGAACCACGAGAAAAGTAGCCAACATTTGTGCGTGACTTTCTACCAGCGATTTCACAAAACTGGACCAACTAATTTTTTTTTATGAAGCGCACAAATGTTGGCTACTTTTCTCGTGGTTCTAGAAGAAAAAATCTCAAAATAATGTTTTATAAAGTTCGAGAGGTAGTAAACGTCATTTTACCTGCTCGAATGAAGTGGTTAATTGTAAATAAAAGAGAAAATTTACGCTTTTTACCCTTCTTACAAAAAAGGGTATAGGATACCGCTAACTATGGTCAAAATCCATCATGCGATAGCTCAAATCATATGAGAATTAAAAAAAATAGTTCAATGGTAGTCAGTTGGAGCGCCTTGGACTCCACTGGCAACATCCGCCAATGTTCCTAGTACCCCCGGGGAAGTGGTCAGTTTCTGACTATTTTTACGTTAATGTATTTTTGGCATTATCAATTGAACCCTTATGTACTCGACAATTTATATTTTATTTTTCTACCCGTGTTATTCAAATGGGCTGGGTACCCGTCGAGCACGTAACGGGTAAAATCCATTATGCGAAACCTCAAATCACATAAAAATTAACAAACCAGTTCAATTGTTATCATTTGAAGTGTCCAAGGCCACACTGGCCCCATCCGGACATGTTCCGGGTACCCTCGGGGAAGTGCCCAGTTTCTGACTAGGGTTAAAATCCATCATGCGATACCTCAAATCACTTGAGAATTCATCTGTCATATCATATCATATGAGCACTTTTTTATTGTATTGGTGTTTTTGCGACCCAAGGAATTTGTGTACCGAAGCTTCTAAAATGATTTAACGGAAAGGTGCAGTTTTATAACTTGCTTCCGCACTTATTCGCACTTATGATGTGCGCAATTTGTAATACCTATTGTCGAACTTTTTTTTAGTTGATACCACTATATACATCATATCAAGAAAACTGGCAACTGCTCCAGAATACAAGCGACACATACATTAGGCGCTCAGATTCAAGGATAATGTTGCATACGTAGTATCCAAAGCCCTGTAACGTGGGTAGATCGCCTTTTCGTTGTACGCTAGGAGTAATACGACATGCACTAAACTAAGGACACGGGATATACTACAATAGATCAAATTACTGGTCGCAGTGGTGTTAGATCCCGAACAGAGGAAAAAAAATCCAAAGCTTCCTCACAACTTGGGTTTATATTCCGCTTCGCAAAAAAAAAAAAAAATAAATGTATACTGCCTAAAAGCAACGGTCATGTGGTCCCCATACTACCAAAATGAAACCATGCTTATTGTAGCTATTCAACTGAAGTTCATCAGATATGCTTTAAGGCATTTTCGCTGGAATGACCTTAGAAATCTGCCTAGCTACGAAAACCGTTGTATGCTTATCAACTTAGAGCTTTTGGATGCGAGACGAAACGTAGCAATGGCGAGCTTCGTCGGTGATCTTCTTCAGGGAAACATTGACTGTTCTACACTGCTGAGTAGTATCGACATCAATTCCCGCCGCCGTTATCTACGATCGCATGCTTTCCTGAACAACCGCCTCTCAGGAACCAACTACGGATGGAATTAGATCATGCGGAGGATGTGTCGCATCTTTAACAGATGCTACAATGTATTTTACTTCAATGTCTCCCGTTTTAGAAATAAGTGCAATTTCAAGAGAATTTTATGTTAATTTGTGTACAATAAGTATGCTGTCATTGAGGTGAATATTTTGCCTGCTGACATTAACATAAATAAAATAATAAAATTTGTTGTTTTTTACCCGTCTTAGGGCCTCCCTTACCTCAGTCAGTAAAGGCGCAGCTATAAAGCAACACCATGCTGGAGCAGCTGGGTGCAATTTCCGGTTCGGTCTAGGAATTTCTCGGTTTGGAAAATTTCTCGACTTCCCTGAGTATGATTTTACTTGCCACACAATAATACACGCAAACGAAAAATTTATTACAATGAATTTCCTATTATCGTCTGTTCATGAATATCGCAGCAAATGTTAGAAGTTCATCTTGCAGACGATGCAATAATTTTTAATATTCTTTTATTCCGTGTTCTGTATATGCACAGAACAGAAGGGGAAGTGCAAACAAATCGGTGAATCAAAAAGTGTTTCGTTTTTCTACTCAACAAGCAATGTGTTGTGGTAGCGTTCCTATGAGCACTCACACTATCATAGCATTCTGTCTATCTTAACTGCAGGCAGAAGATGCCTTCTACCGCTAGGTGCGCTAGTGTTCACAAATGACAAGTGGAGCCACTTGCTGATCCGAAGTTCCACTTCTGTGGTGTACTACATGAACACGAATTGAATGGATTTGAATGCTAAGACTGTATAGAACCACAGTAGGCACATTGGTTGTCAGGACAAGTTTATTTGTTTGCACGCTCGAAACGAAAATCCCGGTCAATCAATTTTCGATCAAATTCCTGGGAAGGAATTTTATACCTCGGTTGACCGGAAGAGTGCCCCGGAAGGATGTAAAATCAAAAAGAAATTCCCCAAAAACTTCCTTGGCTGCCAAGCAGCTGCAGTTGTGCGCTGAAAAGCAAATTTACCAACAAAAGTGCCTACGGAAGAGACTACTGCCTTTTCTGGAGCAGCATGAGGCGGATTGCCTATTTTGGCCGGACTTGGCAAGCTGCCACTACCCAAATTCCACCAAACAGTGGTACAGCGAAAATGGCGTCACAGTGGTTCCCAAGGAGATGAATCCGACTGATACTCCGGAACTAAGGCAATTGAGGAATATTTACTGGTCACATGCTGAAGAAAAAGAGTGGAACTGCAATTGATCTGAAGGATTTCAAGCGGAAATGGAATTTGGTAGCCAAACAAGTGGACCCGTGCAAAAAATGATGGGCCGTGTACGAAGAAAAGTTCGAGCATTGGAAAGAAAGACAAATGATCTTACAAAAAGCATTTTAACTACTAATGTATAGCTGTAACGTTGAACGATAAAAATTAAATCCCAACAAAATTTTCGTGTCCGGATTATCAGAAATAATTTTCTTTTTATTCCCTGAATGAAAAATTGAGTAATTTTGCCATAATTAAAATAAGCAAGAAGAGTTACATGTCACCATAGGTGTATAAATTCAGATTTAAGAAATTACAGTCACTTTAACACATTTAAGGTCATTCGGTTAATACAGGTTCTAACTCGTAACCTTTAACGTGAGAGGTATAAATACTAACCACTATGCCGGATCCGTCCCAATTAACAAAAAAAAAAATAATGAGACGAATGATAATGTAATATTAAAACCTCTATAATAAAGAATAATAATAATTATAATTTCCAAAAAAAAAGTGAGCTATACATAATTCTTAAATTCTACCAAAAGTAGATACGATTTTTTTTTTTCAATTGCAAAGCGTGAAATTTTAAAATTCCTGGCTTTTTTTTTAATTTCTGACATGCATATTTTTTTTCTGTGTGTAATGTTGCAGGAAAGACCATCTATTTTCCTAAAACATTGGCGCAGACGACATTTCGATTTGAAGAAACGTTTTGTGCTAAGATTTATTGAAGATCCAATTTTGTAAAAAATTAAAGGAAAGTCAAAATGGTCGAGTTCCAGTACAAGCTTGAATGATTGTCCCTAAAAACGATTATGCAGTGATTCATAAAAATCGGAGAAAATCACGTCTGATGCTACCTTTTTTAAGTTGGCGTGAAAATGCTCAAATATGGCAATGACCAATATTTATCCAATTATTACCGATCCATTCATAGTGCACTGCGTACACTGTGTGACAAAGATATTCGTTGATAAGCTTTAGCTAAGAATGTCACACTAATCATGTTCAATTGTGATCTTGACAATAATTATACCTGTATAGATAAATGCCACACTCAAAAGCAACATGCGTTTGGTTAAAAATAGTCTGACGGCACTGATAAATGCTTGTCTGGGTGTTTGCTGCACTTCCGGAATTCCATCATCTGAGGAATCTGTTGTGAGTTGGTGTGGTTTTCTAAGAGTGCATAGGAACACAATACCGATAACGGCCACACCTGCCAGGATTGAGAACACTAGCGTACGCGTTTCGCTATCAATGTGGGTTTTTCCTTGAAATAAAAAGAATACCAGCAGATTTCCGAAGAACATGCTGCAGCAAAACGAAATCATTATATACATATCATAATAAAGGATATATCTTGACTAGTAACGTACCTCATCTGAAGCATGGCCCAAAAAATTCCGGAGTTGCGGGAAATGGTTGATTCATCGCTACACTTTGAAAGATACATCCCTTGGCCAGTCCATATAAATGCTGCTCCAGTTCCTAGGACCGCACTTGCGACGTATAGTAACCATGTTTTTGGCCAAAGAAAGGTAATGATAAAGAAGCTGTAATAAGATAATGGAATGGAAATTATGGTCATAGTAGACAGCTTTAGTTCGGGAGTTAGAAGGTGATAGCTCTATTGTAGATCCAGTAACCCATTTCAGAATGTCTGAAGAGTCACGTCCATTCCGAGGTTACTTTCACTCACAATAAGCCCCGCATGTATGCATCGCCGTTATCAAATGGATATTGGTTATACATACACACTTCCAGGTTCGAAAATATTCTTTTCAACCCTGGCATGTATAAAGTTTATTTTTGATATTTAATATGTAAAAAAAAATATATTTGGACAGCTTTCACCATATTCTGCTCATTTGCTTCTTTTGGAATCCCTTGGAATTTTTCTCTAACGCTTCGTATTTCATTCCGTGCTTCACCGGCAATTTTCTTCCGTAGATCGTCCTTGGTTGGTTCTAACATGATTCCTCCTTTTCCGGGTTTTTCTTGTCTTCAGAGGGAAATAAATCCGTACAAATTTTCGTTCCTGGTTCGATGTTAACTCCTTCCTCGCTGGTTGGTGTGGTCGGTTTCATGTCCACCATATGTCACTGAATTGCCATGGTGAGGCTCACGTCCAAAGTCGCTGGTCCACCGAGCGCTCCGTGTGCGAAAAGAGAATGAAAGAAATACGAAAGGGATCAGTTTCAAGAAGTGACAGTTTCATCAGATTCCCCAACTAACCATACTCAAGCAAAGTAAGAATATACAAGCTATATTGCGACTATATGGTTACTTGGGTACTCATATGGCCGTCAGAATGGTTCATCGGTTGCGAAGTGAAGTATTTATGAAAGTGATGCGTTATATTTCTCAATGTTTTGATTTTATCCTAACGTTACCTCAATATTATATCACAGACAAACAGACACAACACATTGAACATTTATCATTGTAAACCCTACAGCCATCTGTCCTATACACTATGATGGGCAACACGCTCAACAGATGACTGTAGTGTGTAAACGTCAAACGCTAGGGAATTGATTATGTGCACCACAAGTAGCGGGTACTACCAACTAAGAAACATTTAAATTGACCGTTAAAAGCGTGTCACGACGAGACCCCTCATCGCGGCGACGCTTTACACGACGGCGCTGCGTCAGCTGTCAACATAGTGACATCGATCCCGAGGAACGTCACGGACTGTTGGAACGTCAACAAAAAGGAAGAAAGGAAAGAACAGGAGAGTAATTTATAGTGCACAATTTGTTCAAATCAATGCGGTTTTAATTGTATGTAAGGTGAATTTATCACAATTGTTAATTACTAATTGAATCTATCTAAAGCTAACTATTTACAGTTTCTAAAGCTAGTTTTCTACACGATTTACCGTTCAGTGCTAAAATCTAAACCTATATTCTAATTATTGTTAGTACGGATTGATGAAACGTAAATTGAACTTAATACTAGTGTTGAATTTATAGATACAGTTAAAACTAATGCAGTAGACAGTGGGAATCTAACCGCACCACTTCCAGAGACAGTACACCAAATTTGTAAGTCGATAATATCAGGATCGCTATAAAATTATCTTAAATAAACATTTAATTACAGCTTAAAGCTCATACACGACAAAAACGTGTTGCTCACTTAGAGTTGGTGATTCTAACCCAACAAAGCGGTTTCGATGAACGTTTAAAGAGTGTTATGTCTGCTTGTCTGTGAGCATACCTTCACTATCGCAACTTCGAGTAATCTGCGAAAGTACTTGCATTTTTCTCAGGCACTTTTGATCTAACTGCAATTACTCTCTCATACTTGAATAGTGCCATTAAATAATTGGCACAACGACACCCTATACACTCTCTGACCGAAGCGCAAGGATTTGACTATATCAAATTATTGAAGTAAAATTAATGAATGGACTTAATTCATTTTCATCGTTTAAAGATTTTTTCGTCCTTTGTTGTTGCTGTTTTAATGGCTGCTTCCAGGCCTTCCGCTTGAGGCAGGAATTCATCTGTTGAACATTCTTTTTGCATAAGAAGCATTTATAATTGTTTCCATCATAAAATCTGCTCTCCTTCCTATTGTGAAAATTAAGCGTGGAGGGAATATCCTTTAAAGTCTATCCGTATACTGCGTGGACAGAATAATTATGATTTTCAATTCCACCTTCCCCTCATTCCGTCTCGCACGCTGAGCCGGTCAAGTCGCATCGGTCTCGTTGTACGACACTAGTATTTGAGTTTTTGAGTTTTTCCCCACGCGAGGGTTTTTTCTCGCCAAAGTTAGTTGGCATAGTGTTAAGACAACTAGTGCGCGAGTGAGGAAGCCGTTAATCATACGCCGAGCGCTTTGATTACCGTCCAGCTTTAACATCAACATCTGTAAAATCATCACCACTATCGGCCCATTGATAGCAACAACGAAAGCACGTTAAATTGCCTACCGAGGCGAAAGAGGCATTCCAGCTGCAAGGTTATCGACCCAACAGCCGTTGGGGAATACAATAGCATCGCACCAGTCATCTGCCGCCTCAGTGCAATAGGTATACCGTGTCGCTTTGTTTTCACCAGTATCGCATCTCCCCGCATGGTCCAGTATTAGATTAGGTTGGGTCATAATTAGGGTGATCCAAAATCTTGTAAATAGTATATATCTAAAAAAAAATTTCTTGATTTTTTTTCTCGTACTATTTTTAAGTAGAGTATAGTTAGGGTGATCCAAATTTTTTTTCAGTATATATATATTTTTTTCTTGGTTTTTTTTTTTTGTTTCTTTCATATTACTCTTTAGTAGAGTAAAACTATATCAATTTTTATTTTGTTTTGCATTTTTGTTTTTCTATTTTTGATATTATTTGTAAAATATTTACCAAAAACACCATTGCGGCGATATTTAACCGCAATGGATGAAAATGATTAAGGCGGGGGATGGTCGCTTTCCATCTCAGATGACGAAACTCTTAATTCCACCTCACACGAAAGTCTCGAGGAAGTTGTGTAAATGGAAACCCTTGACGTTCCAGTTGACTCGCTCTCCAGCAAAAATACTGGAGCATATCCCAAGAAAAGGTATCGCCCACAACCTTCTCTCCCCCCATCTCCTCCTCGTCCACCTGCACCACCCACACCATTGCCCCCGAAAACCTCAGCGCTCCCCCGCCTAAAGGCTTACCCAGAAGCCTCGAAAGGCCCATGGGTTGTTTTTTTCTGGCCCAAACAAAAACCTTTGAACATTCCGAGGATCTCTAAGGATCTAACAACACATTTTTCGGCCGTTACCGATATTTTCAAGGTAACACCAATAAAACTGCGCGTTACCGTTGATGACCGGAAGCAGGCTAACCAAATTGTTGCGTGCGAGCTTTTTTCATTGGAATACCGAGTCTACATACCCAGTAGTGAGGTAGAAATTGAAGGAGTGGTCACCGAAGCGAGTTTGACTAGTGACGATTTCTTGGGTCCCGATTCCTTCGGAATCTTTAAAAACCGTGCCCTGCCGAAGGTGAAGATATTGGACTGCCTTCAAATGCAGTCAGTATCCGTAGTAGGCTCCAAAAAACTTATTTCTTGTCAAACTCGTTTCGTGTGACCTTTTCGGGTTCAGCGTTACCTCACTACGTCGCTATTGGCAAGGTTCGGCTGCCTGTACGTCTGTTTGTACCTCGGGTAATGAACCGCTCGAAATGTAAACAACTTGGTCACACATCTGACTACTGCTCGAACAAACCACGCTGCGATCAGTGTGGCGAGCAACATCAAGAGGGCCCTTGCGGTACTCCACCAAAATGCGTGTACTGCAAGGAGAGCCTGCATACCCTGACTGACTGCCCGAGGTATAAACAGCAGGGAGACAAAATTAAGCGGTCTCTGCAAGCTCGCTCCAATAGAACTATAGCAGAACTCTTGAAGAATACCGCTTTATCTTCTCAGACCACACCAAAAAGCATTAACACGTTCTGTTTCACAAAGGGCAAATGCATCAGAAAGTGAGTTGTTAACTAAAAATTGAAATGTGTCAAGTTTTGGCATAAGACTTCTACAGTTCCACTGAAGAACAGAGATCATATCCCCGACCTCATTCGGAGAATTATCCATCAAAGGATATGATAGATGCAAGGAAGGACCACCAAGAAGCTAGTTGCTTCAAAAGAGTTTTCACCATTGGCAGCACTAAATTAATAATGCTCCTCGTTGAGTCAGAGATATTGAATATACTGAAGAAACTATCCACAATACCAGAAAACGTGAACATGGGGGCAAGTTCTTGCTGATTATTCAGCTGCTTTTCTGGCCGAAAAACTGGGACATCTGGGGTTTTAGATGATCCTGGAAGTGACGGAAAGTTCTTGTCATAATTACAAGGTTTAAAACCCGGTGGAATGGGTTTCGGTGAATTTCCGTTACCTCTTGATTTTTCCAAGGTGGAAGGGTGGTCCGTACGAGTGGCCTTACGAGGCTTTTCGGTGGTGTGTTTTTTTGCTCGTTTGCTCGTATTGCCTTTAAAGACAAACGGACTACCCTCACCGACCTCTGAGTCAGAGTCTAGATCATCAACTGGCAATACTAGTATTGATGAAACCGACCCTGTTTTACGATACTCATTCAATAATCTTCGATCCATAATTTTAAGCTCAAACCAGCAAATGAAACACAGTCTGAAAAACTTAAAACTGGTAAACTAGACAGAAAGCATGACCGATATAAAAACTTGTTTAAATATTAGCAGTTGATTCGTCAGGCAAAGAGGTTCCGGAGATGAACCAGCGTCTGGCTGAAAATCTCCTTAATAAAGACAACCAACCATCCAACCGTCAGGAAACGAGGATACAAACATTTAATAAATTTGTTACATTTGGCTTGAATGCCCTCAATGTGATCTTTTAAAGTTAATTTTAGGTCAAGTACTAATCCAAGATATTTCACTTGACTTGACCAAGAAATTGGAACTCCGTTCATAGTGACTATGTGACTACTACAAGGCGTTAGCGTTAGCTTCAGTGTTAGCGTTGTTATGATATACTTCGTAGATTGGATACTAACGACACTCACGT